CCTTGCTCGCGTGCAGGTGAGACTGCGTCCTGTTCGTGGGATGACCGTTCGGAGAGGCCTGCGGGGCTCCTGCAGGGCTCCGCAGAGGGGCAGAAGGAGGCAGCGGGCGTTCGAACAACCCATCGGGGGGGAGTGCGCCATAACCCCCCTTTTCTACAATGTGGGGCGCTGGCGATAAGACACGCTCTGGCTGCCGTCCCCCTCGACTCCCAAAATTTTGTTTAATCTCGCACCAGAACCGACGACGAGGGCTCACTCGGGATGTTTCATCTCGGATTTCTCCTCGTTTTTCTGCGGAACTGCCTAACGATCCCGCTTGCCCGTGACCTCTATAAAATCAGAGCGGGGACACGGACACGACACCACACCGCAACCCCCGCAGGTCAACGAGATCGGGTCGAGTTTAAGAAGCTGAAATTAAATAAAATGGTCCGCTACAGAAAAATCGCACTACCAGCCTAGGGGAGCGCCTTGGTCTGGTAGACCACCCCCTGAACCCCGGTGTGAGACTGGACTTCCGGTCCCCAGGGACCGGACTGGCGGCAAACTAGCGGTATGGCGATGCAAGGCCCCGGGAGCCCCGCGCGGCGACTCACATCGAGCCCCGAGGAGGGTTAGTGACGGGCTGACTCGGCAAGGCGACGCGAAACACGAAACCCCCGCCTTCCCTCCTCCTCCCCGCCCGCTCGCCTCTTCTGCCCGGAGAGGCGCGTCGTCGACCCGCCGAGACCGCAGAATTTGTCATTATGGAAGGACAATATGCGAGCGGAACTTAAATGCCTGGTGGCGGCGGCGGCAGTCGTGCCAACCTGCCGCCAATAAGCCTGTGCGATTGCGTGGCGGAGGTGTGGCTGTCCTGGGGGCTCGGCAGCCGCCTGATCGAGCAAAAGAAGAATAAAAAGGTTGTTGTCGGTGCTCTACGTGTTACCCCAACGCCCCAGCGGCGACGTGAAGGGCCGTGATAAAAACAAAAAAAAAAAGATGAGGACACCGCGAAAATAATGGGCTTATGCAGCTTATGCATGGATGCGGTCCAATTTGCGTACGAAAATAGGTTGTGCCGAATAAATCGATTGACTACACACCAAAGAGGTCAATGTCCCGATCTGAAATCAACACTAAGAGACCGCTTCTTATATACTTTATAAAGATTTTCTTAACCCGCTCTTCTTTCTGGAAGGGTATGGTTACCCCGCTGCGATTTCCTGCGCCCCCGCACATATGTAAAGCGATCTGTTGCCAAGCGTGCGACGCCGGGAGAGGGGCGGCGGCATGGGCCGGCCGGCGCCCTTTGAGCGATTCAGCTGAAAAGCGGGCGCCTCGGCGGGCGCCGGCGCCAGTGTGGGTGCCGGCGCGGGTCTGTAACCCGCTGATTACCCCCCCCCCCCGTCCCTCCCTCACACACACACAGACAGAGCGGCGGTCCCGACAAACGACCCAATGACACCGCGACAAGCGCGTGCCTCTTGCCGCCGCGCTCGCCTCTCACCTCGCCTCTCTCAAGCTTGGCGATTGGGTGGTGGGAGAGAGAGTGTGTGTGTGTGTGTGTTATAAATTTTGTGTAGCCCCCTGCCCCCCCCCTTACACCCGCCGTCCCGACAAGCGTTCCGTGAAGCGCCTTTTGTCAGGCGCGTCGTCGTGCCATCAGCAGCATGGCGGCCCGTCCCGTTCGCGGGCGCACGCATGTCACGGAGTCATGTGGAGCTGACCCAACAAGGACCGGCAGCGTATTCACACGCCACGCTGTCGGGAACGGCCCGACAGTCCGACAGTCCGCCATCTGCCCGGCCCGGCACTGAATCAACACATTGAGCGCGGCAGGACCACGATGTGGTCACGCTCCCACATGTGGCACTAGAAATGATCCGCATTCAGTGCATGCTGAAGAGGAAGAAGAGCCTAGGGATTTCTTCTTCCTTGTGTCGCTTTTAGCACGAAGATGCATAGTCTCGCAGCGGGCCTCTATGCACGCAGGTGGCGCGGGGCTTTGGAGCTCGCGGCGTTTAGGCAGCCGCAGGGTACCGCAGGCGGCGCGCATCCAAATATTAAGAGCGGAGCTAAGCCGACGCGCAGCTTTAGCGGTACAGAAATAGGACTCCAACGGCGAGGCGGCGCATGTATATCTTACAAGAGCCGCCGAAAAAAATTGGACGGTGCGCGCAGCGCAGAGTGTACTGATTTGTGTTTGCGGTGCACCTTAAAGTACGGTATGCCCGCGGCGCGCCCGCTGCACTCGACCCGAGGCGCGTTCCGGCCGCTGTTGGCGTCCCTTCGATTAAATCTAATCTCAATACTGTGGCCGCGGGTACGCAGCGCCCGCCCCGCGCCGCCCCACCTTGCTCGCGTGCAGGTGAGACTGCGTCCTGTTCGTGGGATGACCGTTCGGAGAGGCCTGCGGGGCTCCTGCAGGGCTCCGCAGAGGGGCAGAAAGGGGCAGCTGGCGTTCGAACAACCCAGCGGCACGTGAGGCCCAAGTGTCCTGCAGAAAACGTCTTCAGTTCGAAGAAGAAACAACCACCAAAGTAAGCAAACGCGAGAGTTTCAACTGATCTTTTTTTGTTTGGTGGTAGGTGACGGTAAAGGGTAGGCAGGCGCCGCGCGGGAAAATGAAATATTTTAGTTTGTTTTCAAATACTTTTTGGACCGTGAGCAGGGGCGCGGGCGGGTTTGTGTACCGTCGCTGACCACGTCGTCTTACGGCTCCGAACCGGATAGGCAACCGCCCCGCACGCGTGCATACGATACAGCATATCTACGCGCGTCCAACCAGCCACTCTAAATTTCACCTTACCGCAAACTGGGACTCATTTTTCACTCAGTAATTACTCTCGTACTTGTACAGACATATACTCATGCGCCAAAATATATTTACCGTCCCTTTCATCGACCTCTATTTTTGTTTTTGTTTTTTTGGTTACCAATGTTTCTGAACGATCTCCTCCTCGTTGACCTAACCTAACGCTAACGCGCTGTGGCCTGGTGTGCCTTCGCTGTTTTCGCACGCGGCCGGCGCCCGCGACGTGCGCGTGAGGCACGCGCGCAGAGGCAGCAGGCGGCACCGCCCGTGTAGACCTCCAAGCGCAGCGAGGGCACGCCCGGTCGGTGCACGCCCGGTGCACGCCCGACCGCTTGATCGACGTGTGCGTCGGGAGGACGCTGCCCCCCGGGCACGGCGGGGCGCGGCGCGGTGCTTAGGATGGACATGAGGGCTCTGCTCCTGCTCCGACACCACAGTAATAATGTAAAGTACGAGAAGCAGCCTTCGAAAGTGTAAGTCCGCTGGCTGCCAGCGGTAACTTCCTTCGCGCTGTTTCGGCCATCAAAGCGCACCCAAAGCCCCCACCCCCACCCCTTTTATTCCCATCTCCTCTCCTCCCTTTCCTTTCCCCCATCCCCCCTCCCCCCACACACATACACACAAACGCGCGCGCGCGCGCACACA